TTAACGAGCGACTCCTTTGGTTGTGTCTCTCTATATCGTATATATCATGTCCATACTAGCTTAGTAAATATGAAATTATTTTTGTACAGAAACTCGCGATTGTTAACATTGTAATAGTGCTCTACTATCTCTCTTATTTTGAATAATTTTTCGTACGAAAGAGCTTTATCTAATTCGGACATCTTCAGTCTTACAAACAAAATGAATGTGCATTGTAGCTAGTGAATCTAACATTATTTCTCAGTATAAATTAGAAGTTAAGTAATCCACTCAGTTAGGCAACAATTCTGAACGAAATAAAATGCAAATGAATTCAAAATGAAGAATGAACGAACGAATAATTGGACGAGAGAGTGATAGAAGACTGACCTTTTCTTTTTCTTTTTTCCCGTACTGGACGAACAGAAAAGACAACGAAAGAAAAATTATTTTGAAAAATAGACGAATGATGAGCTGTGTTTCTATTGGCGAAGAAAAAATATATAAAATATGAAATGGCTGATTATTGAGACTTTTAATGAAACGCCTAAATTCTAAATTATTTTATAGTTATAAGCTATACGAAAAAGAAAGTAACGAGATCGATGACTTACAATCTAATGTTACATGATTTAGATATATTCAATTGCGGATAGGTATCACAGCATAGTTAAACTAACGATTTACCACTCACTAATAATGAGGGAGTAGTGCGAAATACCATCGATCAACAATTAGTTAGTGAGGATGACCATTACTCACTCAGAATATAATAATAATAATTATGATTTTTTTAGTATTTATTTTTCTTCTAATAATCAAAGCAAAACGGAAAAATACTGTTAAAACGTGTTTTTTCGAAAGAAAACACGGAATTGAGACGTTTTTAACGATTTTGGTCAGGATGCATGAAAATTAACTGTTAAAACGATTTAAAAGGGAAAAAATCAGTGATAAACGCGTTTAAACGCAGTTATGACCGTTTATTGTCTGCCTGGGTAATTAAGATTAAATGGTTACTATCATTTAAATATACTTTTTCTCTTGTAATACAAGTAACATTCATCGAGACTATGGGCATGTAAGTTATGGTTGTAAGTGAAGAAAAGACTTGCATGAACGACACATCGACACTATTACATTCATACATCAAACCTTTGATTTTGAAATTTTAGTTTTATTTTGAAACGAACATTTGCTGAGCTTCATTTCTTAAGATTATTGCGACAGAAAATTTCAATTTTCAATACATATGTCAAGGAAACATAACTCTATTTTATTGTTATTAGTATACAGAGGCAAGCAGTATTTTGGTTAGCTAATCGAAATGGAAAAGTAATTGAGAAATGGTAATTCATTATTTTTTATCAGCTGTTTTTAGAACTTTAATATGTGATTTGACGAATTCAAAAAAAGAAAATTTTTTTTCGAGAGCTATCTGTGAACAAATGGTACATTGTCTGACGGATTATACAATGGAATTTCATCGAGTCGAACTGATTATTTTCAGTTTGCGTTTGAACGAATGATCTATTTTTGACTTTCTATCTTCAAAATTAGCAATACAAATCACATATGTTTGATATGAATGTCTAGAATGAGAAAGAGAAGAAAATTCACGTCAGTCAACATATACAGAAAATTTTGCACTACATTAGACATTATTCAAAGATAAAAATAAGAGAAAGGGTTTTTAGTTACAGTCTCGAATTATTCAATGAGATCTATTTTCATTCTCTCTTCATGTTTGATAATTGTATGTGACACAGTATGAAATTTTCGAAGAGTCCAGTGAAACCAATGATCAACTAGATCAATAAAAACCATATAAGTTTTTGTGTTGTTATTTAATAATTGCTAATTATCTAATGTATGAATATATAAGGGTGTGGGTGAACAAGCGAGAATGTACATAGAATAGAGACTTCGATGTAACCCACACTTATACGCTAAGCCAACCATAAGTTTTGATGGGATTCTAATGATCAAATTTCGGACGGACTCGAAATAAAAGCCTACAAAGATCTTAGCTGAACTCTGTTATTTTCCTATTAAGATTCTGACCATGCATGGAATTGTCTAGTTACAAGCCAAAATGCCTGTGTCTGAAAAGAATCAAGCAGGATCCTGGACAACTTAAGATAAGACCGTTATAGCATGAACGGCTAGGAAATGAAGCAGAATCTTGATTGAAACTTTGCAGAATTCATTAGTTTAAAATTATAATCACTCTTATTTTATTCTTGGTCAGGTCTTCGTCTGATCTAGCTATAACTCCTCACAGGATCTTGCCATGACCTGTCTTTTATTTCTATCAAGATCCTGGATAGAATTGCGACTGAATCCTGATTAAAACCTACATTCTCAGTCAACAAAATAACCTAGGCAGGAGCTTGAAGAAATCCTGAAGAGGATCCTGTTTGACCATGAAGTATTCTGCAAATAGAACTCTCCAGAATTTAAAACAGGGTTCTGACTAAAACTTCAAAGGATCATTCAGATGCAGAATCTTGAATTATCTTTTCAAGCTTCTTCAAGAAATCAACATGATTGAGACTTGAAAGAAATGCTATAAAGTTCAGACAAGATTTGTAAAATAGATTTTTTTTTCTAATTGAAAATGTCACTTTCGTCTTTCATTGTACTCAGCGCATATTTCTATAAAAACCAGAAAGAAAAAGAATAGAAAGCATCACTTGATTATCGATCATTCTATCACAACTGCTACCGATCAAAAAAGAGAGAAGAAAAGAATGTGGCATCGATTCTAACGGAATTTAACTGAACTGAGATTATAGTCATTCAAAGGAAAAAGACATTCAATAAACAACAATGTCAACTTTAACACACATAATAAATTCGCATAATGTTGTACTAGAACCATCTTAAACCTGCACGAAAAACCATACCTTGTAACGGACAATTTCGACGCTTATCAATGGATCTAATTTTATAAATAGTCTTAAGTATAATCTTTGTAATAATTGACTGTTAGCATAGAAATCTTTTCTTTTATTTCATTTTTATTTCTTCACGTCCCATTCTTATTCGATTTTAAATTATTCAGTTGTGATGAATTTGAACAATTCTCATTGATCATTGTCACATCTTGTCATTTTGTTATATTCTAAAGATAACTTAAGAGCAAACTGTCACTTTGAATGTATATAAGAAATATTCGAATCAGTAGAGAATTCAACAAATGCCCAAAAAAAAACCAAAGATGAAATTCTTACGCAAATTATAACCATAATTCGAATAGGACAGTGTGAGAGTTAAAACTGTGTTTTTTTCTTTGTAAGTTGATAGTTGAGAAAAACGACAAAAAGTTAAAATAGTTATATCTGGATTATAACTATCAGTCAGTCATAACTTTCAACTATTTTTACTCGATTAGCTTTTAAATTTTTTGAGTAGCTTTACATGATTTGAAAAAATAATTATTATTTTGATTCAATTGGCATGTTTGACAGAAAAGTATGAAAGTGTGATACCGGTGTATATGTGTGAGTATACAATGAGTAAAGAACGAATAAGTAGAGAATGGATCTCTAACGTGCTTCTAGAAACTAGAGAAACAATTTGATGTCTCAAAATAGTTATTTGTGATGGTTTTTCATTGAATGACTAGATGCTTGTTAAATCGATCGGTTTCTGTTTATTTATAAATAAGCTTTATCAGGATAATAAAAATTTGTAAAGTACAATTATGAAAATATATCCAAAAAAACAAGTTTACGTGTATTAGCCACACTACCACTGAGCTTGACAAGCACTCTTCGATCATTATATCCATTGTGTAAGAATAAAATAGAGTCTTTCGATTGAATCGATAAAGCCCACAAAGTGGGTGACTTTTATGCTTATTTCATCTCGTATATTTATGTACGAAGTGTTAGCAAAATCGCCATAGTAAACTTTTGAAAAGAATAAGGAATGTCCAGGGTTCGGATAAATGAGAGTGCGGATGACTTGGATTAAAGAATAACAAATAATTATCATACGAAAAGAGATATCGACAAAGCACAAAATATAACAGAATAATTACATGTTGAGGTTAAGAAAAGTATTCATTTCATCATTGAACATCTAATGAATCAATGATAATCAACTGAAGCATTCCACTAAGAAAGTTGATTTCTTTTTTCTTTTACCATTGAATTTTTCTTTATTTTTGATCAAAATTTACATCTTGAATACACGAAGATGTACAATTTATAAGATCAATAAATATTTTTTTTTTTTGAACAAACTTTTTGCATTTTGATAATCGACTTGATTTCATTTGCTATAAAAGTATAAAAACAATTATTAATGATAGTTTTTTCAAAGGACCTCACATATCAGTATTTTATATCAAAGAGTTTTATTTTGGATGATATTAAATAAATGTCTTTATTATTGTCAAATGGAAAAAAACAAAAGAAACATTTAACAACACGAGCGCGACACTTACAATAAAATTGTGTTTTTTTGAATTTTCGATTAGTTTTTCGGATATATTGTTCCATAAGAAATCGTCTAAAAAGGACATGGGATCGAGCCAAGAGAGAAAATTCACTTCTTCATAAGAAAAACCGTTCTGTTTGTTTACGTCTTCGTCCATATCATCTAATAATGAACAATTTTCTATAATATCTGTGAAAGCGAACAAAAAGGAATGAATTGTCTTTAGATATTGTCTAAAACTACTGTTGTATTTTTCAAAAATCAAAATTCATTTTATTCATTGGTCGAATAAATGATTCGTAACTTCGTACTCGAATTATCAGCTGTGTTTTTCGTTTTGAAATGATTTATTCTTTTATTTAATATTCAAAGTCTGAAACAAAGCAGTATAAAAGCATACATTCATGACACTACTGTAAGTTTTTTCACAAAGACAAAGTTCAAATTTAGAATAATCATTCGAAACAGTATCACTACTTTCTATGGTTTACTATTCTATCTAAAACAGGGGATATAAATATAAATACATCATGCATACATGAGTATAGTCAGATTATTAAAAGATGAGGACAATGGAAGATACGACGCTGGATGAGAGAACGAATACACTAACACATAAACGAGTTAATACCAATGGTGTAAGATGTAACTATCTATATTTCGAAATAGAAAAATTTATTATAGATAGACGTGGGTTTGATTAACAAGGCGTCTTTTAATACGAAGATGATCATTGATCAAGTCAGCGTTAATATTTAATCTATTGTCATTAAAAATATGTTTCACCGATTTGAGAGAGAAATTGAATTAATTCCAAATGATGTGTCCTGTAGTCAATCTCATGTTCATTATACATATGGAATAATTGAAAGTCGAGTTATACGTATATTTCAATTTTTCCATAAAATAGATTCAATTTCAATTCAATTAAATTGAGGATTTAGTCAAGATATTTTGGTCTTTATTTATTAGTTACTGTTGAAATAATTGAACCATGTGAAGATCAATTTTGGACGAAAAATTTCTGATTCTGATTTAGGTAACTTTACTACACTAAGGCATATGATTCAATATTTACATAATAAATTTTAAATTTATGAACATGTTCAGCTAAATTTAGCGGGAAAAAAATATTCAGAAGGATCGATAGTAGCTACCGAGAAAACTCATTATTAGTTGGATACAATACTCTTTTTTTTCTTTCTTTCTTTTACAAAAGTCTTTTTAATGAATAGATTTTTTTTCTTCTTGCTGTTATTCAAACGTAATTGTCAAAGAAAATCGATTAATAATTGTGAATGAATAAATTGACCACTTAAAACAGTAATTGATTGTCGTTCACCACTTTTATTTATATTGAAAATATGAATAGATAATGATATACTGATTTTCGACTGTTGTTGTCGATCGTTATCTGATTTTATTTAATTATTAAGTTCATGTAACTTAGTAAATGCACCTTTTACTTGAGGATGTGGGTATGGATATTTCTTCCACAACATATACACCCATATATTCACGTTTTTCTTGTAACGTCAATGGTAATCGGGTACGTTTTTCTAGCAACGGAAAAAGGTGCATCTATAAAAATAGTGCTTAGATCATTCTGGAAGTTTCTAGAATCTTCTAAAGCATTCTATGAATTTATGGCTTTTACTGGAAATTCGAACTAGCATAAATATTGCAAGTTTTGATATTTAACACAGCAAAAGGGTCTTATTGTAGGTGCCAATCAATAGGGCGATGGTATTATTAATCTAGCAGATTCAAAATAGCATGAACATAGAAAAGTATGAACTAATTGAATTCAAAGTGTTGACGAAACTCAATAGTATATGTCAAAGTTCATTGAGAGAAAGAATGATTTACTCGAAAGCTTATGGAACGATTAAATCAATGTGTATGGCAGATTAATATAGTTGAATAGACGACTATTTTGTATGGCATGCATTGTATACATTATCATTTGGAGGAAAGATTTTATATATCGAAGATACATATGACAATATAAATATGTTTCTTCAGTGTAAAAATTTTAAATGAAGTTCATAATTTAGTAGAATAGAAATCCTAAATAAAAAAAATTTTGAAATAATAAAATTTTAGAGAGCACCTATCAACTATATAAATTATTATAATTTTCATTTATTCGTTTATGTCGCATTTTTTATTTAATTAGTAACAAATGAATATGTCTCTATTGTTGTATTAAAATTTTTATTTTATATTTGATTCAAATGTTCATCCCCACTAATCCAATTGTAAATGGCCTAGTTGAGAGATCGTCTAACTTTTCGATATTTTTTTTCGGCTAATTCCATACCATTCAAACCGTTTTCACATAGGACCAGAGAATATTAGTATAAAAAATATAATCATTTTATTTTTTAAAAAACGCCAGCGTATTTTTTTAATGTTTTGCGTTATTTATTTATGTGAAGTTACAAAATAATCAATGAACCTTGAGCAGGAAATTATTTTGTCAATTCGGCCTTACTTCTATCAAGTATTGCTAGTGCTAAACGTTTACAACCATTCTTCAAAAAAATAGCTAAATCTATTCGTTCAGTCGATAATGATATATTAACTTTCTATGAACCAGTAACTTCGGGTGATTGGTATGTTCAAATTTTGAACAAAAACAAACGAAAACGTTTATAATAAATTCTAATTTGATGATTATCGTAATCGAAGTGTTCTTTTTTATCATTGTCATTGTATAATTTTATCTCATATGTCAGTTCTAAACAATGTTACAATACCATTTTTTTGATCGATTCTTTTGTGATGATGTTGAAGAACCAGCAATATGTCATTCCGTAGAAATTGATTTTGCTCAATTGGGTGGTTTTGATGGTTCACTAATATGTAATGAACAACTTAATTGGGGTTTAGATACTGCTGATGAATTTTAAGAATCATGGACTTTTTAGGGTGATGTTTTTGGTTATGTGCCAACAATAAAACGTTTATTACGTATTTATATTTGTATAGTCACTGGTAAATCTCTTGCAATGCAATATATAGCTAGTCAACATTAATTCTATTTATCGTATTATATTAATTCAGCAATTAAATAGTTTACTGAAATTTATACATCATCAATACAATATCCACAACAAAATTATAATATAACTGTTAATAGAGTATTAAAATGGAAAATTGATTTAACAAATACTAATGTTATTCTTGTTGAACCTAATGAATCGTTTGGAAATTGTAAAAATCAAGTTGTTATTGATGTTGTCAAAATTTGTTCAACTATGTGATTATGAATAATGATGCCTTCCTTTCTTTTTCTTTCTATGATAATGATGTTTTCATAAGCGCATTCAAAGTATTTTTCTCAAAACTTCTAAAGCCTTGTAGTCTACACAAAGATATCCTAAAATAAATGTGTAATGTTAAATAGAAAAATATCATTTTAGTCGTTCTTTTTTTCGATGCATGCTCATAATTTAGCATTTAACTTGTATTATATTGCTCTTGTAAAGCAATATTGGCGGCTAAATAGCATGTATTATAACATTGGGTGAATTGTGATTGAAGTTCTCTTTCAGAAAAATACCTTTTCATCGAAATTAAGATAAATCTATGGGAACATTGATTAAAGTAGGATCTTTCACAAATCATGAAAGTTTTTATTTGACGAATCGTTTTTTTCCAAAAACTTTCAATGATTGCTGTCATCTTCTATTTGAAGAGTACACATTTTTCAGTTTTTCTCTGTGTATTTTCCTCTGATTTGCGTATCCTAGAATTCTCAAAGGAGCTTCATTGTAGTAAATTGCTTTTTTTTTTGTTCGAAAGAGCAAGTGTAGCTGCAGGCTCGTTTTTTTTTCAATTAAGTTGCGTTATTATTGTATTAAAAAAAAGCACTTCTATAATTAAATGAACAGTTTTTTTTGAGTTATTATACTTGTCATCTTTTTTTCTCTGAATAAAAGTTGACAATTTAATAAGAAAAAAATCTGTCATGCACTGCAGGCTGACATGTTTTTTCAATTAAAAAGAAAATTATATATATAGAATAATAGTCCACAGAGAGTTTTGGGTTGTCAAATGAGCTATTGTTGAGCCTTGTTTGATGAATATTATTCGAGAAAATCATCGAATGGGTTTGAAAATACCATGAGACTTAAATGTATTTGGAATCTTTTTTTTTTTATCAATCCGTGCCTAGAGAGAACTATTCAACAATTTATTAGTATTACATCTAACAGCATTTTTCAACACTTTTTTTTTTATTTATTGAATCGACGACTAGCACTTTTTATTGGTTATCTCTCTTAAATAAGCGTCTGATTGGTATGATTTATAAAATGATGCGCTTAAAATTATAGAATATTTAACTATAATCTTTGGTTTCGATTGAACTAACTTTTTTCTCGTAGTACCAGTCTCAGTCTCAGCAATTTCTTTTCCCTATGGTCTCTCGCACATTTCTAATTGAGTTCTAGATCAATTTTAGAGGATGAATGGAATCCTTAAATGAATATGACTTCACAGAACTATCTTCGTTTCTTCTACATTTAATTCAGTAATGCTATTTGAAAGTCAATATTCTCTAGTGAATATGTGATTGCTAAATACACTTAATAGTATAGTTAAGAAGCACGCGTTTGTTCACTCTCGATTTACTATTGACAAAACAAGAAACTTGAGTCCAATGATACATTAGTAAATATATATAAAATGAATGTAAGCTACTAACAAAAATCATAAGTAAATATTTGTTTAATAAACAACAACCAAGAATTAATGCTACGTGAAAAAACACGTTTTTGATTTCTTAGTTTTGTATTACAAAAAAAAATCCAAAGATCGATTTTCCTTGGAAATATTCTTTTACAATCAAATGAAATATTACAATTAATTTTCTATTCTTTGTTTTTCTTTTCCTTTATTGCATCTAAAATAATAGTATTACGACAACAACGAAGCTAGTTATTCTCATTACAATTTATGTCATTGCATTAGGTAAAGGAGAACAAATAAAAAGAAACAGACACAAGCACAAAAAAATACATAAATAAATAAATATTTATTGATCATCTAAATAATACCACATATATTTGGAGTTTGTCATTCATATTCAATCTGATTATTTAAGCCGATACTTTAGCTTTTTCTTTTGCATCACTATCACACTTTTTTTGTCCAGCTACTATAGCCATAAGAGCATCAGTTGACAACGATTTTGGTCGTTCTAATGGAAAACCTAATGCTCGAGACCATATCATTTGTGCAAGTACACCAAGTGCTCTTGAAACACCAAATAAAACAGTATAATAATTCATTTCTTTCATACCATAATGCTAAAACAGATACAAAACAAAAGAAATGGTGATAACAAATATATATATATATAATTAAAACGAAATTTTATTTACTTGAAGAAGAACACCTGAATGTGCATCAACATTCGGCCATGGATTTTTAATTTTAGCATGTTCACCAAGTATTTGTGGTACAACTTTATAAAGTTGTGATACAATTTTAAACATATTATCATTTGGCAAATGTTTAAGAGCAAAATCACGTTGACACGTATAACGTGGATCAGTTTTACGTAAAACAGCATGACCAAAACCTGGTACAACACTTGTTTTAAGTGTATCTTTAACATATTGTTTTATTTGATCATCAGTTGGTGTTTCACCTAATTTTTCCACTAATTTTGTTATCCAAACCAAAACTTCTTGATTAGCAAGACCATGAAGTGGTCCAGCAAGACCATTCATAGCAGCAGCAAATGATAAATATGGATCAGAAAGTGCACTACCAACAAGATGACTTGCATGTGCACTAACATTACCACCTTCATGATCACTATATTAAAAGAAAAACAAACATTTGAATTTTTATTTGAATCTTGAATTGTATTTACCTATGAATAGTTAAATAAAGACGAAGTAATTCAACGAATTTTTTATTATCATAACCTAACATAGTTGCAAAATTCCATGACCAATCTTTTTTTGGATCAATAATACCAACAGCTGTACCATCACGATATAAATTTCGATAAATAATAGCAGCAATTGTTGGTAATTTAGCAATTAAATCCATTGCATCTTCATAAATATACTATCAACAAAACATTATATTTATTATATATAAAAACAAATCATTTCTGTATGTAATCTGTCAGAGATGTTGTTCATATGCATAGAAATCTATATTTTGAATCATCGAGTTGAGAGAAGTCACTGAATCGTTGATAAACAATTCGTCTCATAAACGATCTAATAATGTGTGCATAAAAAAAAAGAGCTGAATTCAACCGTTGAAAAGTCTATATCATCTCTTCTTAAAAGGTCTCCTTCTATCTTCCTGTCCGGAATTTCCGAAGAATGACTTGGTATTGTGTTATTCATGTAAATAATGAATAGTGAATCACTCACACAGGATTCACTCATTACATTGACATCCGCGTTCGCTGCAAGATTAAGACAGGAACTCTATTAGAATATGCCTCTTTTTAAAGTGACGTGTTCCAATGCTTCACTGAACACTGATGTAAATGTGCTCTAACTACGCTGACTCGATAGGTAGTAAACTAAAACTGCACATTTCTAATAAAGACTCAAGAAAAATATATGGATTTTCAAGGTCGATAGATCATAATAGCGTCAAAGGGTCTAAAAAAAGACTTCCTTGTCATTGACATTTCTCAGTCGTAATACATCTCATAAACCTAAAAGACTTTTCTTTCTTACAAATACTAGAAAAATAAGTAACTAACCTCCCAATATTTCGATTTTGGTACATTATCTGAATAAGCTTTGGCAAATTTTGAATCAAGATTAAGAACTGTAATAGCAGCACTAAATTGTGACATTGGATGAAGTTGTGCTGGTAAACTATTCAACATCGTTACAACATGTTTAGGAATTTCAGCCCGCTTATTCCATTCGCATGTTACCCATTCGACCTAAAAATTTATTAAATTTTTTCTTCATTTTTGTTTTGTTTTTATTTATATAAATAATTACTTGTTCTTTAGTTGGTATTTGTGATGTAACTAAAAGCCAAAAGAGACCTTCAGGTAATGGTTCTTCACCACCTTTAGCTTTTGGTAATTCTTTTTGACATTCTGTTATGGTTTTTCCACGAAAACGGATGCCTTCATTTGGATCTAATAGAGATGTTTCATAGACAAGACCTTTAATACCACGCATACCACCATAAATCTAAGCATGATATATTTTATCTATAATTAAATATGAAAGAAAATTTCTTTTTTAATTACCATATCAATTGTCACTTGCCCAATTGATGTATCTTTATATTGAGCCTTAAATGCAGATACACGTTTTTGTTCTTTGGGTATCACATCTCGTAAAACTTCTTTTAAATCCTGTATTAATCATGAATAGAATATACATATTACAACATAAAATCATACGAAACATACAGTTGTTTGTGTTGATGCATGACATTTTGATTGCACACCAGGAAAACTATTCTATAGAAGTAAAAAAGCTAATTTTTATTAATTTTCTTTTTAAATATTCATAAACCGTTCGGATTGTTGATAACACGAGACGAGAAACATATCGGGTGACAAGAGACATTTGTCTTTTATTCGGAATATAAATTGCACGAGCTAAATAGATGCGAGCACTTAAAAAAACACAATAATGACAGGATTAGAATCACTTGATAAAAAGTCCTTGGAATATTGTAGCCAATGAAATATATGAACAAGGTGACTAGTGCTCAATGTTATTGATAGCGACATCTCATTGAACAATTTGTTCAATAAAAGAAACGAATGACTTTAATTTTCTCAATATTTAGGAAAATTCTTCTATATGGAATTCTAATACAAACATATTCATTTCAAATGATTTTTAATTTCCAAGAGCATGAATCATACTGTTGCATTTCTTTTTCTGATAGTTATGAGAACGTAAAATAAAAATAGATACTCGATTTTTGAAAGTTTTTGACTTTCTGGATTAGTTTTTGGAAATTTTCTTATCTGATTTCTTGTCAGTTAATACTCAATTATTCAGTGGTGAATCTAGATTTTTAACGAGATGGTGACGATATCTAAATGATGTCTTCCGAGGTAGTGTGAATTTTTTTGCAAAACCAATTAGATAGTGTGCTCTTGCACTTATTTTTCATTGTATCATTTTTATATAATAAATCTAGAAATAAACAGACTTTATCAATGAGAAAATAGCTGTATGTTTTGATTTTTTCTCAATTTTAAACCAAAAAAAAAAATCATTGCAATAGGAAGAACAATCTTATTTCATAGGTCTTTCTTTCTTGATTTCTA